CCTCGTTTCCTCCTTCTTCCCTTCTCGCTCTTTCTTTCTTTTCCTCCTTTCATTCTCTCCTTTTCCTTTTGCCCTCCTTCTTCCCTTGTCTCTCTTTCTTTCCCTCCTTCTTTCCTTCTCTTTCTTTTCCTCTTTCCATCCTTCTTTCCTTCTCTTTCTTTCACTCTTTCCTTCCTTCGTTCCTTCTCTCTACCCTCTCTCTCTCTTTCCTTCCCTCTTTCCTCCTTCTGCGACCCAACTCTAGTGAGAAGGGGTTTAAACTTTAAACCGCTTCTCTCTTCGCTTCCCCCCGCAGGGGAGGGGAGGCTTTTGAAGATGCCTCCCCCCCCCTTTTGCTTCGCCTTCTGACATCTCTTTCGGTGATGTCAGGGAGTGTTGCATATGCTAATGAGCTATTATGCTAATAACCTAGTAGCTCATTAGCATACTGTATGCTAATGAGCTCCTGCAGCTCTTTTTCTACGAAAAGACCCCTGATAAGGAGGCATCCAGGACTACACCCAGACTCTTGACTGGCTGCGCCGGTGTTAAAGGCACATGGTTGAGAGTTGGAAGTTGGCACCTCAAACCTGAATTTCCCCCACCCAGCCAGGGTACTGATGGCAGCAGACTTTTTTCAGCTGTTGCTTCAAAAAAATCTTAACCTTTTTTTTAAGCTGTTCATATCAGTATCTGATTGTGCCTTCTTGAGGCAACTTCTTGTGAGCAATGAGCTATAAAAGTTCTAGAAATTGGTGTAATGGTCCCTAACTCTTCCAGAGGCTTTAGGAGTTCAAGATGAACTTTTGCTGCTGGATGGAGGATAGCCACATCTCACTCTTATGCTCTATAGATATAAGTTAGTATCCTAACAATGCTAGGCCATATTGAGTTGGAAATGTACAGTGCAGTCCTAAAACAAATTGCTACTTTTAAGCCCATTGACTTCAGTGGATTTAAGTGGGTATAACTGATTTTAGGATTGCAGAGATTTTCAGTTGAATCTAGGCGGTGAGAATTGGATATTCGTTATCTTTCCATTTCAGTGTCTTTCATAGAGAAATTTTATAAACTTATTAAACTACATGTATGTCACCAGTGGTGTTTGTATAGTGATATATAGATTAATTTCCTTGATACTGGGCTTTTATGTTTTTTTCTATTTCTTGGGGCAGTATTACATGTAAAAACATTAAGATGCACTAGTTGTGTGTTCTGTAGCTCCCACTTTTTTAAACCATAAAGAGGTATTGTAATCCTGATTCAGGAGTTGAATTTAGCCTTTGTCAAGTTCTTTTCTCACAGCCTCCTGCATCTGCAATATGGGGATAATCCTGTTGGCCTTGTCAAGAAACTGCTCTTGCTTAGCCATTTCTTGGCCTTTCAAAGTTTGGTTCAGGATTTTGGGCCTAGTTAAGTTACTGAGGGCTGCTGTCTAGGAAATTAATGTCACACTGACTTGCAGTTTCCAGAGGGAGATAAGGGATGAGATGGAGTCAGACTTTGTATCTTCAGTCTGGTCAGGTAATATCTGGGTCAGAGGACTAAACCTGAGTAAGTATTCCAAGTTAGCCATTTAGTTTTAGTATTCTTCCTTATTTTACATTGCTTCTATATTTGTATACTTTTGCACATTTCTTTTAATAAACCTTATTAGTCATACTCCTGTGGAGTTATTTGGGTTTTGGAGCTTCCATCTAAATCCACCACCTTGTCCTAGTTTGGTTACAGCTGCCAAAGTAATTGTTTTTGGAACTCAACTTGCAAGTGTTCTACCTTGTAGGGCTGACTTCTTGACTAACACCCAGTGGGGCAGGAGAGTTGGTCCCTTACTGTCAGCTGAGGTTTAGTTAGAGGGGCTGGTGGTGGCTTGTTACCCTGGACAGTAAGGATTCACTTCCCAATTCTGTGTATTTTGCTCTTGATCTTCTCCCCAAAGCCTTCTTGTGGGACAAGGGAGCTTTGACAGACCTACCTTATTGAGCTAATGTATATTCCAGTTATGCTCTATAAATGCTATGTGGTGGATATTTATTAGATGAAACCCAGTACACAAAGATGGTGCAATCATTCCTCTGAATAGTGAATTTTATGTTCCCACCCATGCGTACCAGTAGAGCAGAGAAATGTGGCAACTCAGACACATAGACAAGGTCAAGGTTTCTGCAGACTTGGGGTGAGGCTGCTCTGGGAAAACAAGAATTGAGCAATTTGATAAAGCATTTATTTCCCCAGTCCAGATTCCCTTTTCCCACCCTCCCCAGCATAGGGAGCAAGATGGAACAATGCTTCCTAGACTGTTTAGCATTATGGCACAATTGCCCAGACTGAATGGGAAGCTGCTCATGTGGCCCTGAAGATTAGCTGTTCGGATTCCTTGCAGGGCCCCAATTTGTTCTTACTATGATTGTAGCTGTTTGAATTCTGATGGCATGATGATTCCCATACAGCCTATAGGCACCACAAAACAAACAAAAGAACATCTTAATTATTGTTAATGTCAAATTTTGAACCACATTGCACTACAGTATTAAATGTTGTTCAAGGAATCTTTATACACAGTTGGGTTTTTCATACTTGCTTTGGCCACAGTAGCCATATTGCAATCTGCTTTGGACCCTTTTAGCCAAGGGGAATATTAAAAATCCATCAAATACTGTGGAATTACATGAGAGTAAGAGCAGCACCTCTCTTCTTCCTGCTTGGCTCCCATGACATTTGTTGTTGTTCAGTCGCACAGTCGAGTCCGACTCTTCGCGACCCCATGGACCAGATCACACCAGGCCCTCCTGTCTTCCGCCGTCCTCTGAAGTTGACTCAATTTCATGTTCGTTGCATCGATGACACTGTCAAACCATCTCATCCTTTGCCGTCCCCGTCTTCTTTGACCTGCAATCTTTCCCAGCATCAGGGTCTTCTCCAGTGAGTGCTCCCTTCTCATTTGGTGGCCAAAGTATTTGAGCTTCAGTTTCATTATCTGGCCTTCCAGGGAACAGTCAGGGTTGATTTCTTTTAGGATTGACTGATTTGATCTTCTTGCAGTCCAAGGGACTCTCAAGAGTCTTCTCCAGCACCATAGTTCAAAAGACTCTATTCTTCGGCGCTCGGCCTTCCTTATAGTCCAACTCTTGCAGCCATACATGACTACTGGGAATACCATTGCTTTGACATTACAAGATCTCTATTCCTAGGAGAAAGGGGCTGAAGTGTGCATGGAGAATGTATTTTTGTGTCCATCAGTGGTGGTTTAGATATTGGAAAGAAGCGAGGAGGAGATGTTAATATCATGTTTTAGATTTCTAAGCTGCTTTGAAGACCTTATGGCTGAAAATATACATCAAAGAAATAGTGTAGATTCTAGAACCAATACAGGGGCACATTGTATTCAGCTTAAGAATTTTGAGGCTTGAATGAAGATACAAACACTATTGGTGTGGAGTCTCAGATGACACATGGGAAGTTTGTGGCAGAATTAGAAACTGAAATCGAATTTCCTTGTCCATTGTCTTGATCACAAAGCAGTCATTTATTTTTGTTTTGTCTTTCAGTTACTGATCTGGAAAATCTACAATAAGATTTTGAAATAATTGTAGCCTTTTGTCACTGGCTAAGATGTTGGAAGAAGATATGGAAGTGGCCATCAAGGTGGTGGTGGTGGGAAATGGAGCTGTTGGGAAGTCCAGTATGATCCAGAGATACTGCAAAGGGATTTTTACAAAAGACTACAAGAAAACTATTGGAGTTGATTTCCTGGAAAGACAAATTCAGTATGTATTTAACAGGAGCACAATGTCTTGTTTCTTTTTTGATTACTGCTTTTGTAAGTGCTGAATTAATGTTCTCCCAGGGAAAAGTGCTGGGACAGTATTCTCCATAGAACTAAAAGTGAGGCATTTATATGCTAATTGTATTATGTAGTCTTTGCATGATTGCCTGATTTACCAAGTTGAATAACACATGCAAAAATTCTTATGGTCTGTTTGTAAAGTATTTATTTCTTGTTTATTATTTACATTTTTATCCCGCCCTCCCCGGAGGCTCAGGGCGGCTAACCAAAGTATCAAGATGAAATAGGATAGGAAAAGTCAGGAAATCATTCAGATGATAAAAATGTGATCTGTAGTGGATATGAACATTATGACAAGCAAAAAATTCTTTTTGCAGAATTTTTCACCGTCAGATATTTTAAACAAGCAGTCTCGTTTTTATAGTACATATAACTGTTTCACGTTTTTGAGATGCTGTGTGGTGTTGATTTTAGAGTCCATGATGAAGATGTCCGATTAATGCTGTGGGACACAGCAGGTCAAGAAGAATTTGATGCAATTACCAAAGCTTATTACAGAGGTAAGTAGCATTATTAGCATACATGAAATCTAGCTGTTGCTTATAGGCTTTAATAAATTTACTGACAGGTTGCTATGTTGGTAATTAAGTATATATTAAAGCTTTGTTTGCTTTCATCAATGTTGAAGAAAAATTCCTGCAGGCATTATTTTTCTTCTGAGTTGTAAAAAGACCTTGAAAGTTGTGTGTTATTTCCTTCTTTAAAATGGAAACAAATATTTAAAATAGATTTATTTCTAAAATCACTGTAACGGTCTAAGGCTTTGGGGTACTATATCTCCTTCAAAACTGCATGTAGTGTTTTTGATTTACCATTAAATACAATAATTTAGTCTCAGATTTTTACAAGAACAGCGTATCTGGGATTTTGTGTACAGTTATGGTCTGCCCCCAAATGCAGTTCCTGGTTCCCCTTCCATGTGGAGGACAGACACCCCTCAAAAAGCATATGTCTGTAGTTCCATAAGGGGCTATAATTTTTGTAGCTTGTTAAATGTGTGCATTGGATTGATTGCTTGGAGAGATTCAGTGCCAAAAGGATATGCTGTGAATATTCAGTGCAGCCATTTACTCTCCAGGGAACGTAGCCAGTATAATTGCAGCAGTAGGGTGCAAGTGTTATATTCCTTTGTATGACATGTATTTTGGTCAGCCCTGTAGCTAACAACTTTTTGCTTTGGGGGGGGGCAGTGTTTTGCTTGTGGGACCGGCCATTATATGTCTGTGTGGAGCTGCTACACCACGCTTATACTTCTAAGTAATAACTAATAAATGAATAATACAAGTGCCTTAAAAATGGCCAGAGTGATAGAGTTTTTAAAAATCAGTGGAAATAGACCCCCCCCATTCTTACAGAAACCAAAGTGCTTAGCAGGGCTCTAGTCGGGGGGGAGCTCTCAGGGACGGAGCTCTGGAAGAGAACCTCTGGGGGGCGGGGCGGTCACGTGGTGAAGCCCCGCCCCCTTCTTTACCCCGCCCTCTGCTTCGATCCTCATTCCGTTTGGGAATGAGGATGAAGCAGGAGGGTAAGTAGCCGGGCCTTCTGACACACTTCCGGTGATGTCAGGGGGTGTGGCCTTCTGTCACTTCCGGTGATGTCAGGGGGCGTGGCATATGCAAATAAGTTATGCTAATGAGTTATGCTAATGAGCTCCGGCAGCTCTTTTTCTACAACAAGACCCCTGAATAATGATTGCCCCTGGGAATAGAATCTGTGTGCTGGGGACTAGACCTGTAAGGCCAGTCCCAGCACACGGATTCTGTTCCCAGGGGCTGTCATTCCAGTGCCAGAATACTCCTGCTACTCCCAGGGGCTTTCATTCCACTCTGGGGGCTGTCATTCCAGTTACAGAACATATCTACTACATCCAGGGGCTATTATTCCACTCTGGGAGCTGTCATTCCAGAGACCTTAACAGAAAATACATTCCACATTTTCTGTGCAACTCTTCTTTTGCTGTAATGTATTCCAAAGGAGCCCAAGCCCCCTACCCTCCAAGCCCAAATAACTATAGCAACTTCCACAAGAACAACAACTTTTGTGTCTTTAATACAACCCCCCCCCCCAGCCGATCTCACCCTCTAATCTGGAGTCCTGCATGTGGGAGACGGGGAAGTGGTAGAACTGTGGCATAGGCACTGCGGGCTCAGCCCCACCAGAGGATTACTGGACGGACTGGTGGGAGGTGCACAACAACACCGGTGTCCAAGTAAGGAAGTCAAGGAGGAAGCCAGGCTGCTGTAAACAATGAGATTGGAGGAGGAGGATGGAGGAGGGGAACACTTGCAGCCAGGAAGGAGGTGCTGGCCAGGTGAGGCTCAGGCAGGCAGGCTGCAGTCAGTGCTCTCCTCTCTGCATGCTGCTGCAGCTGCTCTCAGAGTGGTTGTGGTCAGTTGGAGGGGGGAAAATCGCATGGCGTGGCCAGCTTAACTTGTACCTGGCAGGCTCTATGCGAGCGTTGTGTAGAGCCCGCTCTTGGACTGCCCCAACCAATGAAGATTTGCTGCCTGCCCCTTGGTGCCTGCTGCTCTCCCCCTCCCTTTGCAGCAGCACAAGTTTGGACTCGGAGGCTGCTCTGGGCATGCTCCAAGACGAGAGCCTGCCTGCCGTCAGTCTACCAAGTGCCGATGCAATCACTCACTGTTTAAAGAGCTGCTGCTCGCCTTGTGTCAGAATCGGACCCTTGCCTGGTCATTGGGTCAATATACATGCATGTCTGAGTCTCTGATGTACATAGCTTTGCTCTGGTGAATGTTATTATATTTGCTTCTGCCTTCTTCCCTGCCTGTAGTTTCCCATCCCATGTAACACCTGCTAGCTAGGTTTCAGTCTGTCAGCAAGTATCCTCCTCTGACATTCCTGAGAAGGAGAGATTGAGACTGGCCTGTGTGAACGTTGATAGCTGTGCTTAGGAACCCTGTGAAGTTGGGCCTCCCCCATGAAGGCTATGGGAGAGTTTCGCTTTTCTCATTTCTCATGGCCTCGGGAAAGTATCAATTGATAAACATTCTCACTGAGGGAATTGAACTGTATTAACCTGTTGCTGTACTATGCAATGCTGAGGTATGTATGAGGGCTGGACCAGAGGTCTTGTAGATTCCAACTTTGAATTATTTGTCAGTTCTGTCAAAGCGTTTGACTTGTTTGCAACTTTGCAGACTTTCTACAATAAAGCCAGTTAAAGGACTTATTGCGTCTGAGAGTTACTACCCTGTCTGACACCTTGGCCCTGTCCCCTCCCACTGGAACCCACCGCCCTCCCCCTCCCTTCACAGCCACACTGCTTCAGAGGCTGCTTGGGGCATGCTCCAGGAGAGCCTGTTGCTTGCCCTCAATCTGCCGCGAGTGGGGAAGGGAGCCCAGCGGGGAGAGGGCCCGTTAAAAATGCTTGGGGGCCGGGCCTGGTTTTTGGTAGCCTCCACATGGGGGCAGTAATACTTGAATATCCTTTGGTATTGGTGTAGGTTCCTCCAGCATGCATTCCTTCTTGTCTTCTGTTATGGACCTGCTGACTGAGAACTAAATTGGCTAAGCAGGTTTCTCTGAAGATGTGAAGATACCTGATTTGGAACAAATTTTGGCTTTTCTGGTGACTTTAGAAAGTTGTATGGCATGGGGTTATTGGCACCACTCCTTTTGACATATGGATTCTTTCCTTGCATCCAATAAAACCTCTATGATATTGAGCAGTGAAGCCATAAGGATTCTAAAAATCTTTAGCTATCAAGAGGTAGTAAAGATGCTTAAGTGAGGATGGTACTTTAAGACAGGAACATGCACACATGAATGGTGATGTATTCCAACATCATGCTAGAGGGGTAGCATACACAGAAAACCTCACACATTCCTTGATCCATCTTCCAGAGCAGAATGCATAACTTCAATGGAAATTAATGTTTTTCAGTCATCTTCATTGTGTTTTTTGTGCATTGTACAATAGCCCAGTGTAATTTGTCCTGCTGTGTTTAAGGCGCATAGAGAAAGAACAGAAAATGTAATCTCTAAACACATAGTCTATGACATAACCTTGTAACTTCTCAGTAGGTTCTAAATGTTGTGCCATTTACTCGGCTGTTTTCACTTCTGGTTTCGCCTTAAGCATTTGAGAGATGTTGCAAAGTCTCTAAGATTAATTGCATTGTTACATTGCCTAGCATATGCCTCTGATATTCCTAGCTAAATGAGAATTTATTTATTTATTTATATTTATAATTTCAATTTGTATCCCGCCTAGCCACAAGACTGGCTCAAGGTGGCTAACAATTAACAATTAATTGATTGGCATCCGTCTCTTACATGTGACTTCGCAGATATTTCTTACAACCCCACTATCTAAGAACTTGAGCTAAAGATATAGGTTACTGAGTTACATTAAGTATGCAAGGCTTCTTATTGCTCACAGTACAGAAACATCTTTGCAGAAGCCGGGAATAATGGTTACCAGTGTAAACTTACCTTTCATTCACTGTTCGCAGTGGAAGCTGGATAGAATGTAGAATCATAGAATCATAGAGTTGGAAGGGGCCAACCCCCTGCCCAATGCAGGACCAGCCTAAAGCATCTCTGACAAATATTCATCCAGCCTCTTCTTGAAAGCTATCGGTGAAGGGGAGTATCCAGCTCATACAAATCAATACTGGCATTTATTGTTTGACTTCACTCCTGATAAGGGTTTCATTACATGGTTATCTGTATAAACAAATTAAGCATTAGTTCCAACAGCCAAGACCCCTTTTGGCTCTGTAACCTTTAAGGCCTGAATTTATGTATAATGACTGGAACCTATCTTCTAGCTGGTGGATTTCATGTGGCAGGGGAAGATTGCATTGAAAAGGTAAACAGTGAGCTCTTCAGCAGATAGAAATGGTGGTTGTACCACAGTGTTATTGTTTCTGTGCTTTTTGGAAGTCTCTTTTTTACACTCTGTTTTGTATATTTATACAATACAAATATGATTACCAGGGCACATCCAAACTTAGAGGTGTATGTGCAGAGGAAGGATGTTGATGCTACAGTGCTGTGTATACTAACTGCCTGTTCCTATATTTTGTTACACTGTAGGAATAGAATTTAGGATTGGCAACCGCAGGAATAGAGTTTAGGATTGGCAGCCTTATTCCCTTACTGCAGGGGCAAAACCTTTGTTTTTGCTGCTCTGTCAATGAACCTTCAGCTCAGGACAGCAACGGACTTTTTAAAAGATAAAGTAGTAGTACAACAGAACCAGAAGCAACTCTGGACCAAAAATGGCCCCTTGAAGTCCCAAAAGGGCTATTGGTATGGGTTCACTTCACACCAGAGTAGTTCTGGTACAACAGTGTAATAAAATGTCGTTTGAGTCACTCTAAACCTAAATCTGAGTAACTTTCATGCAACGACTGGCCCAGTCATATCCTGAACAAAGAGAGATAATATTTGGGGTGGGCCCATGCAAAGTGATTTCAGTGGAGAAGCTATTTCCCCCCTCTAATTTGCAAAAAGCCCTGACCTGGATGGTCCAGGTTAATCTGACCACAGAAGCTAAGCAGGGTCGGCCCTGGCTATTATTTGGATGGGAGACCTCCAAGGTTACACCCACCAGCTGGGTCAGAATTCCATTGTCCACAAGCTCAAAAAGATTGGGCACCCCTGGTGTAGTTAATCCAATTTGTCAGCTATTATTGTGTTTAATTTTATTTTTTAGGAGCCCAGGCTTGTGTGCTTGTATTTTCCACCACTGATAGAGAATCTTTTGAAGCAATCCCCAACTGGAAGGAGAAAGTTGTATCTGAAGTTGGAGAGGTACCTACAGTTCTTGTTCAGAACAAGATTGACCTCCTAGATGATTCTTATATAAAGAAGTAAGTGTTATCAGCATATTTAATATAACTACTTTTCTAAGCATGTAAGAGTAGGAACGAGCACAAATTTAAAAAACCTGGCCGGGGTTCAGGGTGGCCCCCTGAACCAAAAGACCCCCACCTGAACTGAGCTGGTCTGGTGAGTTTAGTTCCCCCTTTCTCCTGGCCATGTGGCTGAGAGAAAGGAGGGGGAATCGCTTTGAAGTAGGGGGGAGCAAAACTGATCAGTTTAATGGATTGCAGCCAGTTTGGTGTAGTAGTTAAGTGCGTGGACTCTAATCGGGTTTGATTCCCCACTCCTCCACTCGCAGCTGCTGGATGACCTTGGGCAAGCCATAGTTCTGGCACAGCTGTTCTTGAAAAAGAGCAGTTTCTGTCAGAGTTCTCTCAGCCGCTCTGAGACTCCTTTGGGTAGTGAAGGGCGGGGTATAAATCCAATCTCTTCTCTTCTTCTTCTTCTAAACCTAACAGCTGACAAGCAGACCTGCCCGCTGTTACTGGTTGATTTCACTTCTCCCCGCTTCGAAGCGAAGGGAAATGGAACCGACTGGTGAAATGGCTCACAGCCATACTGGACAAAAGTCTGTTAAATATTCAGGGAAGGCACCTTCACTGAATATAGGTTCGGTGGGTTCTGAACCAGCCCAAGTTCATGCTGAATTTTGGCTCCTGAGCTGGTTCATGCCCATCCCTATTTAAGACAGCAATCCCTAAGCAGGGTTATTCAGTATTCTTCTTAGGTCTATTTTATGGAGATTACTCCCAGGAAAGTGTTCTTAAGATTGCACCATTAATAACTTTTAATGGTTTCTTTTGTAAGCATATGATTGCCTAATTTTAAAAGAAGACATATTCACTCCTAATATTTGGATATAATCCATATTTTGGATAATAGAGTTTATTTATTTTATTTATTTTATTATATTTATACCCCGCCCTTCCCGCGAACGAGCTCAGGGCGGCTTACATAAGGCACAAAAGTGCATACAATATATAAAAGCTAAAACAATTAAGATTCAGTTCCATCAGATGCACAAATAGAAAACTCCTGACATTTTGTATAACAGGAGGGGAGGGCTAGGGCCGGAAACAGATATTACCCGGCCCTCCGGCAGTATCGCTCTGTAGTGGAGTGGTGGTGGTAGTGGCAGTGGCGGCTCCTACTCAAAAGCCTGGCAGAAGAGCTCTGTCTTACAGGCCCTGAGGAACTGCACAAGGTCCCGCAGGCCCCTGATCTCCTCCGGGAGCTCATTCCACCAGATAGGAGCCGTCACTGAAAAGGACCTGGCCCTCGTTTTGGCAAGCCTGGCCTCCTTGGGGCCTGGGGTCACCAACCGGTGTTGTGACCCCGACCGAAGTGCTCTTTGGGGAATATATGGGGAAATGCAGTCCCTCAGGTATATCGGACCCTGGCCATGTAGGGCTTTAAAGGTAAGCACCAGCACTTTGAAGCGAATCCGGTATGCTATAGGCAGCCAGTGCAGCGCTTTCAGTACAGGTTGGGTGTGCTCCCACCTAGGGGCGCCCACCAACAGCCTGGCGACAGCATTCTGCACCAGCTGCATCTTCTGGATTCACGACAGAGGCAGCCCCATGTAGAGAGCGTTACAGTAGTCTAACCTCGAGGTGACCGTCGCATGGATCACTGTAGCTAGGTCATCGCGGTTGAGGAAAGGAACCAACTGCCGAGCCAGCCAAAGATGATAAAAGGCTGACCTGGCAGTGGCCGCCACCTGGGCCTCCATCGTTAAGATGGGGTCCAGGAGCACTCCCAAACTCCTAACCTCCAAAGCTGGTACCAAAGGTGCCCCGTCGAAGGTTGGGAGCGGGAGCCCTAACCCTGGTCCGGTCCGACTCAAGCACAGGACCTCCGTCTTCACCGGGTTTAATTTCAGCCTGCTCAGCCTGAGCCACCCGGCCACGGCCTGTAAAGCCCGGTGCAGATCTGGGTTGGAGTCTGACTGGCCGCCCATCAAATAGAGCTGGGTGTCATTTGCGTATTGATGACACCCCAGCCCATACCTCCGGACAATCTGGGCGAGGGGACGCATATATATGTTAAACCGCATCGGGGAAAGCACCACCCCCTGCGGCACCCCACATTCAAGCGGGTGCCTCTGGGACTGCTGTTCCCCTAGCACTACCCTCTGTCCCCGACCTTGGAGGAACGAGGCAAGCCATTGAAGGGAGAACAAGAGAAATTTGTGTACTACAGATGTTGCTTAAGATACCTTTGTTCAGATTGGCATGCTTGTATTGCATGCAAGTGGAAGCCAAACTACTTGTGAGGGTAACAAACTTGTTTTCCGTGGGACAGACCTGCATTTAACCATTTATATATTTTATTTACTTAATTTATATCACACTTTTGTCCCCAATGGGCCCCCCAAAGCGGCTTACAACACACTCCTTTGCTCCATTTTAGCCTCACAACAACAAACCTGTGGGTGGGTTAGGCTGAGAATGTGTGGTTCAATATAAAGATGATGACTGCAAGAAGTGTGTAAAAGGACCACATAGGTTGATTCCATTGAACCCTCCTCTGTTTAAAGAACACCCCTGAGGTCAGTTTTCACCTAGCTAAGTTCCAAAAATTTGGCATGGGTCTGGCTGGGGTGGGAGGACTGGTAACTGAGCTTCCTCCATCTCTTTGAATGTTGTCTTTTGTAAACATGTATTTGCTTAACTTAGAAAGGGGAGACACATAGACGTGTTCTGTATTTTAGACTCACTGAAATCAATACAGCACAGTTTTGGTTCAGATTCTAATGACATCTTCTGGTGGCTAGAAGGAATTTTGACCAACTGAAAATTTTCACCCTTTTTTCACCCTTCCACTGAGTGGTTTAACAGTCTCCAGCAGGAAGTGGAAGGTTAGGCAGTTCACTGCCCTGAACGCTGCTCTGCTCATGCTGAATATGGTCCAAACCAAAAGCCAGTTTGGTGTAGTGGTTAAGTGCGCGGACTCTAATCTGGGAGAACCGGGTTTGATTCCCCACTCCTCCACTTGCACCTGGCTGGATGACCTTGGGCAAGTCGTAGTTCTGGTAAGAGCTGTTCTTGAAAAAAGAGCAGTTTCTGTCAAGAGCTCTCTCAGCCCCACCCACCTCACAGGGTGTCTGTTGTGGGGAGGGGAAGGGAAAGGAGTTTGTAAGTCGCTCTGAGACACCTTTGGGTAGTGAAGGGCGGGGTATAAATCCAATCTCTTCTTCTTCTTCAAACTACTGTTCTAGAGTGCCTCACCAAGGGCGGTGGCAGGGGGGTGGAGAGAACATAGCTAACATATATTTGCAAGAAGTAGGATTTCCATGTGCCTACCTAGGGGGAGGAATGGTTCTCAGGCCCCCCCCCCCCAATCATAATTCCCTTCCCTGTTACTGTTCTGATAATGAGTAAATCTAATTTTTTTTATTTAGCTATTTACCCCACTTTCTCCCCAATGACGTCCTTAAATGGCTTGTTTGTTTTATTTGATTCTATCCCACCCTTCCCCACAAGCGGGCTCAGGGTCGGTCACAAGAGAAATATCAACAATAAAACCACATCATAAACCATAAACAATTAAGAATCCAATTTTAAAACCGATGGCAAGCCAGTAATAATCCATTGTGCCACTTGCATTGAAGGGCAGGTGGGCAGAAACATAATAGTCCAGTTACTATTGATGGAAACCATTGCCCTCTACACCACCAAATGAGTATGAGGGCAGTTAGGGCAGGAGAGGCCAGAATGAGTGATCACCCCCCAATTAGCCAAAAGCCTGGTGGAAGAGCTCCATCTTACAGGCCTGCGGAACTGTAATAAGTCCTGCAGGACTTGATCTCAATCGGGAGCATGTTCCACCAGGCTGGGGCCAGGGCTGAGAAGGCACTGGCCCTAGTCGAGGCCAGGGGGATGTCTTACAACATTGTTCCTCCTCCTCCTTTTTACACTTACAATAACAACTGTCTAAGTTAGTGAGAGTGACTGGCCCAAGGTCACCTGGTGAGCTTCCATGAGTGTGGATTTGAACCTGGGGACTCCCAGGTCCTAGTCTGACACTCTAACCACACTACACCATACTGGCTATACTTCCAAAGCACAGTTGCTTCACTGCTCTTCCTCAATTTATCCTGAAGGTAGTTAACCCAGTCTAAAGGCATTCTGCCCACTGCACTGAAAAAAATAACTGATGTTTTTCTGCCATTTTGAACAGTGAAGAAGCTGAGGCACTGGCGAAAAAACTAAAATTAAGATTCTACCGAACATCTGTAAAGGAGGACTTAAATGTAACAGAAGGTAAGATGTGGTAATCATGCACTGATACGATCTTGATGCAGTATTCTGACTAACTTCAGATTGCAGGTGGACGATCAGTGTTACAGCCTGGCCTTCTGCCTGAGAATAAGTTTTCTGTTTCAGGAAATAATTAAAATGGAGGCGAAACATTAAGTCCTGTGATTACCATCCACAGTGTGAGGTGGTACTGACTAGATACTGCTTTATTGACTCTTAAGAGTGAAGCCCGAGTAAAATAATCTTAAACAAATTAATTTCCAGAGCAAATCGTTAAATGAGCAATCTAAACCTGGTAGCAGGAATCAGCTAGTTGATTGTGGTGACAAGGCATTGTGACACAGCTCCGTCTATCAATCTAGTGTTACGTTGGTTTCATAAATGTTCATTATTTTAATAGACTGGTCAAGGGGGTTGACAACATAAAACTCAAATAATCAAATCAGTTAAAAATAACAAAGCAAAGAATATTAAAACCACCTAATATGACTAATGCACCCTGAAGTAGTCAACACCATCTGTGCTGCCCCAGCAGAGAGCAGAATAGTAAAGCATAGCAAGTTGCACTGTTTCTTTACATTTATAAAGGATCCTGGGAAGTATAGTTCTAGTATTCTTAAAGTCAGCTGGTTAGAAGTAGCCTTCCTGATTTGTTCTGTACAGCCGCCCTTTCCTTTGGAAGTTGTTTATTACCCTCCTCTTCCTGGTGTGTTTGTAATCCTCTTGGCTAGCAGATGGGAGAGATTCAGCTCCTTTTACCACATGAATCACTCAAAAGACTCAGGACTTTAAGGCTCCTAGTGAAAAAGGGAATGTGAGTAAAACTGAACCTTTGGATGCTTAAGAGTTGAATAAAGTTGATGTTAAATGAGTGGTGACTCTGCTTCTAAAGAGACATTGAGGGGTTTTCCTGCTGTTGGTTAATGGGTTGGGTAACTGAGTATAAATCAGTGGCCTTAGTAAAAAGAGAGAGAGAGAGAGAGAGAAGACTTGGCATAGTACTAATACATGTTTTGTTTGGCTTTACAATTAGTGTTTAGAAGAGAACAGGAATTACACTTATCCAGAAAAATACACAACCTTAGAAAATATTAACAACCAGGAGTTGTGGGATGTTAGGATTTAAATAATATGTGATCAGTGAGAACCCCTCTCTCACCCAGGTTTATAACACTCTGCTGCCACTAAGTAATACACCAGACCCAGCAAACCCTGCTTGTGTGCTGCAGTACTTTTTTACAATCAGTGACTTAATCAAAGATCTAATATCTCCAGAGATCTTTTATTCATGTTCCTGATAAACTATTTTGTCTCACTTTAGCTTCCAGCCTCTCACTCTCAGCCCCCAAAACATAAACTAGCTGAACCTTCAGCTGTCAGATTTTAACCTTTCCTAGTACACAGCTCTGACTGGCTGGTTCAGGGCACCACTCCGGTTGGCTCCTGTGTGCGCTGATGTTTTTTTTAAAAAAAACTGTTTTGTGTATTTCAGTTTTCAGGTATTTGGCTGAGAAGTATCTTCAAAGACTCAAACAACAAACAGCTGAAAATCCAGAAGTAGTACATACAAGTAGTAACAAAATTGGTGCGTACAAAGCATTTAAGTATAGCCAGATTAAGTCTGCTGATAAATACCCTGACCTGATAAAATCATTACAGGGGTTAATGTGCTGTTGCTTGGTAGAGTAAGTCCTTGTGGCCATGATGATTATACTGGTTACATCTTGTTGACTAGTCCTCTCAGGATCTTACAAGCTCAATGCACAGTTCCCAAAATAATGCCAAGGTTTTGTCCAGTGATAGTTATGCTAGTGGAAAAAGGACAAGACTTTAAAAAAAAAACCTGGCAGCCAATGAAAAGAGCTTTGTAAATGGGCTTTTGTACAGATACACTTAACTTTTGTACATAGCCTTCCTTTAAAGCACTTCCTAGTCAGTTTGACTCTTCTTCCCAGAGCCCTTTTCTTGCTCTTCCTCCCTCCCTTCACCATTTCTTGTGTATTAAGATTTGTTGGGATTTGCTTTTCTGTTGATTGTATTTAGTAGCCAGATCAAGAGCCTGAATGAGTGCAAATGTCCATTTACCTAGGTTTAGGCTCTACACTGAAAATAAACTTGACAGTGGTATCTACTTTGGCAACTGATCCTATATAAAAAGATTTTACGTAACAATTGTCGCTAGATTGTTTCAGTGGATTACCACAGCTACCAACAAGAGACATTATATGAACAGCCACGCTTTAAAAAATATTTTAAAAGAATGAATTGTGCATTGATAAAGGCTTTACCTTAGGTTTTGCTGCTCTTAAAAGGCATTGGCCACATTCCCGAATACTCAAGGAGGCTAATAATCAACTACAAACAACTTAATAAAACTTTAAATTATCTATGCTTTTGGGCTATCAGTTGGGTCCAGCCAGGTGGTCAGCTGGAGAAAAAGAAGGTGTTGTCTTTGACCGCTCCCAAACTCTGTTTAGAATCTTGGGACCTGCATGTATGATTGTGGGTAGGAGATGGTAGTATTTGCGGGGAATTGGGTGAGATGTAGTGAAAAGGCTGTTTGGATTCAGTGCAGTATTTAAAAGATGGTAGATTTGTTTAGATGTAATTCTTTTTGTATGCGTTGTTTTTAATTTAGGAGTTTTCAACACAGCAGGCGGAAGTCACTCTGGCCAGAATTCTAGCATGCTTAATGGTGGTGATGTCATCAACCTTAGGCCTAACAAACAACGGACCAAGAAGAACAGAAGCCCTTTTAGCAACTGTAGCATACCCTAAAGTTCCAAACAGAGAAGAAAAGACAGTCGGACAAAAGCATTTCAGCGGAAGTCAGCAAGGAATACAGCTGACTGTACTGGTCCAGTGCTTTCACAAGTGTTCCACACATGGGATCCCACACTGATAGTGGATATTGCTGTTGCAATGAATTATCATTGGTACATAGTTAAGACTAGTGGTGGCACAGGAGTAGAACCACTGCCCCATGCATTAATTTTATGTTGAATAGGACAACTTTCTGGTTGAAAGGTACGATGTATTAAAGTGTATAACAGGTCTGTTTTTAAAGTTCAGCTGAAATTCCTAAATCTCAGTACCACTCATGCTGTCTTAAGATAAAATAGGTTTTTTTACTTAACTGACTGGATGATTCGTTATGAAGCTATTTTAAAACAGAAGTTCATAGCTTGTTAAACTCCTCCAGTGCATATTCTGGCAGTTTCCCTGGTGCAGTATTTGTATCGTTTATAAATTCTAACTCCAGTGTACATCTATAGGTACTTTGGTAAAAGATTCAGGCTAAAGATAAGAAGGTACCCAATCCAATTACGCTGTCCTGATAACTAACTACTAAAGTGGCATCCTAAAACAATTACTACTTCTAAAATTGCTGACATCTTGAATCAGCCTTTCCAAAACGGTACTGTGCATGTTTAAATTTCTCCCAACAGTGTGGACCTTTTAAAATATAGTTGTGCTGTGCCAAGTAATTTTTATGCTGCTACACTTTAAAATATTTTTGTCAAATTCATTTGATACAGTTTCTAAATTTTAACTAGATAAATGTGAGATAAAAGTAATAGCCAAGTGAAGCACATCAAAGTTTCCTTTTAAAAAGAAAGATCTATAGCTTATATATTCATATGCTATTAATTCTTGGAAAAGATGATCAAATATTGAAGAGATTTGTTATCCAAAGATTAAACACTTAAAAAAAAATTATTTAGTGCATCTTTTTAATATATATTGTGAATCCCATGTTCAATAAGGTCCTCTTCTGGCATTTCAAGATGCACCCTGTTCTTAATCACATCGTGTGAATGTAAGGCTGCAAGTTTATGTGGGAGTAAGTCTAATGAACTTAGTTGGGCTTACTTCTCAGTAAATGTGTATAGGACTAGGTTATAAGTCATGGAAAGTGATGTATGTCTATATAATGGGTTTAGGACGAGGGTGTTAAAATAGTTGTTCAGTGTTAAGATCAGTGGCAAAATTTTAACGTTTACTTTTGTCTTTTTTCAAAAGCATTAATTCATGCATGCATTTTCAGTATGAATTCTGTCTATATGTTTAATATTTCTGCAATATTTGTGTGACAAAAGTTCAGCCAGCATCAAATTGTTCTGTTTCCAAAGTACACTGGCATATCACTAGTTTTGGTGCATAGATTGTATTCAAAGGCAGTTCACATGATGTGGCACTGTAGCTCCCCCAGCCTGAGTTGTATTGATCTTTTGGATAAAATTATCTATTGCTATGAGTATTACTTTAAGCTACCGTATCAGTTGCTTTTACAAACGGTACTTACCAACATTGAAATACTGCATTTGCACCCTGACCTGGATAACCCAGGCAAGCCCGATCTCATCAGATCTCGGAAGCTATGCAGGGCCGACCTTGGCAAGTACTTGGAAGGGAGACCTCCAAGGAATACCAGGGCCGGGACGCTGAAGCAGGCAATTAAGCCGTGCCTCTGAAAAATGTCGTAGCCCCACTAGGGGTCGCTAGAAGTCACCATGATTTCCAGGCTCGCAAGCACATAGGCATACAAAAATACCCCCTCCTAAAAGAGAAACACTGCATTTGCATTAGAAAGTATGTCTTCATCACCAGATTGGAGAGGGCTTCTAGTATTCCATGAGTTTATACACAGTAAATATAAATTGTATATATTTCAGAGAAGTCTTAGTCCAACTGTCTCTCAACATGAGCACAAGAAACAGCCATCCAGATACTGAACAATAAGGCTTTGCTTTCATTGCTGACACAAAATAGATCTTAGTCATTAAACCTTCTTGCTTTCACTTTTAAGTGCTGGATTAAGACCTTTTATTTTTAACAAGTGCATTTAATCACCAACTGTATGTTTTTATGTGGGTCCAAATTAGACTTGACTTATGGTACAATGGCAGGGATATGTGAGCAAATAAGAATTGTTTGTTGCACATTAAACCGTCTTAGTTCAATGTCTAGGACTCTGTACACTTGAAAACATATGAGAACTTCCAGATTAAACCAGTAGCCGTACATGTTTTCTACTGCCTGAAGAGAAGGACTCTACCTTTTTTTTTTGCTTTTGTATACAATAGTGCAAGTTTAAAGCCGGTCCATAACATGTAATTGTCAACTATAGAACCAGTATGTGATTGGAGGGCATGTGCTGTAGCAGCTTTGCTGAAGCGACGGCAGTCTGGATGTTGTCAGCGCTTGGGTCGGGGTGTGTGTATGGTATCCTGTTATTGGATCCTTTGCAGCACAATCACTGCAGTCCTTCTGTGTCTCCTCCCAAATTGTGTCCTGTAGATCAGTGGACTCCTAGGAACATCATGGGGATTGGAGGGGGGGCTGCAGTGGGGGGGTTAATTGGTAAATTGTCCTCCCCTGTTCCACAAATGGAAATGCTTTCCGTGAACAGAGCAGAAAACAGAGGTACAGGATTAGCAGGGCTTGAATCCTATCTGAGCCACCTAGATTTCCACAATGAAGAATGGGGATAATAAAAGCAGTAACAACAACAGACACCCTGTGAGGTAGGTGAGGCTGAGAGAGCTCTGACAGAAACTGCTCTTTTTCAAGAACAGCTGTGCCAGAACTATGGCTTGCCCAAGATCATCCAGCAGGTGCAAGTGGAGGAGTGGTGAATCAAAACCAGTTCTCCCAGATTAGAGCCTGCACACTTAACCACTACATCAAATAGGGCTGCCAAGTGGGGGCGGGTAAACCCCCGCTTTGGAGGCCCGATTCCACCACTGCAGAATCGGGCCCCGGGGGGAACCCCGTCCCCCGAAGCGTAGCGTGGCTGCATCACAGGAAGTGACGCAACCACGTAGCTTACATTGGGGGCGTGGCCCCAATCTTCCGAGGGAAAACTATGGTTTTCCCTCCAACGATTGGGGCCATGCCCCCAACATGCTCTATGTCATGCGTCACTTCTTGTGACGTTCTGGCGGCGCTATCACTGATTACCCCTTCTGCTGCAGAACTCCAGCTCCTCCCTCATGCTGTTTCTGGGGTCGCATCTTCGGGAACAGCATTCAGATGAGAATCTTGGCCCTCAGTGGTGGGGAATGAGTGGTGTTACACTAATGGAAATCCTTCAGTGAGTGGTAACTTTGGGCACGATCTGAGCTGGTACCATTTAAGATAGACTAGTTATGCCTTAAATGAGTGTGCTTTTTAAAAAATTCTAATTTTCTAAAGTCAGCACCCCAGTTTAGGGAATATAATATTTTTAATGTACTTAGTTGATCAAAAACCCTTTTGTTGGTCAGTAAAATGAACACTATTTACTAACATTTCTCTTTGAATATTGAAACATGAATCTGCAAAAGTCAGAATGGGCTTTTAGTTCATGGCTTCCGGTTTGGCTCCCGCGAATGGCGGACGCATCCTCGGGTCGCTCCCGAGGGCGCCTCGCCCGCCCGCGGTGGAGGAGGGAATCCGCGCGAGTGGAGACCCAAACGAGCCCCTCAGAAGGGAGGGGCTCGGATCCGGGGCGCGTT